GCGGAAGAACAAAACTCATCTCAATACAGAAATTAGAAGAACAAATTGAATATAAGAGCCTTTAGTAGATTTTTTCCTGTGAATTTTGATTTTAGGAAGAATACTGTCAATGGTGATTAATTTAAGGCAATTTAAGGCCATTCCTAGCAACCTGAGTGTGACCTATTCTCATCCTTGACCTGAGGGTGACCTATCCTCATCCTTGACCTGAGGGTGACCTCTTCTCATCCTCGATCTGAGTGTGACCTGAAAAGAGATCAGTAATGACGGACTATTAGATGCAAAAAGTATATATTTAGGGATAATTGAGTCTCTTTACTTTTCAACTTATCTTCTTGTACGTTGAGGAAACTCCTTCTTTCTTCTTAATACTAATGTCTGATATCACAATTTTCTTCTCAATACAAATGTCTGAAATCAAAGAAGAATTTCTTTTATTGCTGTCTAAGTCAATCGTCTATTGCCTTCTTGAACTTGTCTTGCAGGGTCAGAGTTCGATCCCCGCTAATCCACGTGGCTGGGACAGCGATCCATTACAACGTCCTGATATCCCAGACTCAAATCCTATCCTTCTACCCCCTTCCAAGGGGCTATTTAAGCCAAACCAGCTTAGCTTTTAACCTCTCATAAGCGCCTAACCTCGCTAAGCCAATAACTTTCCGATTTTCAAACTCCTTCCTCGCTCTACATCAGAAAGTGGTCCAGACAAATGCTATAGTCACCCCGAAGAATAAAGTGGTTTCGTTGCTTCATTAAACATCACAAGTACATTAATGTTCTTGGAGAAAATGTGAGTTTAGTATGTGTATTTATTATGTGTGTATGTGTGTAAATTTTGTGTATTTACATGCACAAAATCATGTTTTTCCCTTTTCAAAATCATTTGAAAATCACTTTCAGTAAAGGTGTGATGCAGACTTTGTAGACTTACGCAGACTTTGTAGACTTACACAGACTTTGTAAACCAGGGGAGCCATACCCAGACCTATAGGGTAGTGTATACTCCCTCTTGTTAGCTATAGGTCGTTGAAGATAGTGAACCACCTTGAAGATACTGCTGAACCACCTTGAAGATGCTGGTGAACCACCTTGAAAATACTAAACTACCTTGAAAATACTGCTTAACGACCTTAATGATGTTGATAAGGGGGCCTTAAAGAAGTTGCTGAAGGGCATTAATGATGCTGCTAAGACATATTGACTATTAGCTGGAAACATTAAGCTAAGACCATTTAACAGCATATCAATACGACCGTCAGATCTCTTGATTACCTCGTCCATAAAGAGGATTTAAGGGTCCCTTGTCGCCCTGGCACATGAGCTCTAATATATACCGTTTAATGCATTACTCTATTAATACATTACTGTTTAATGTATTACTGTATTGCTGGTACATTATGAAGATGAAAGGCAGATCGGGGTGACTGCGTGACTGTCTCATTCCTCCTGTCACAGCCCCCAGCAAACACATTTCGTAATCTCTACGCTATTTAGACAGTTTAAACGTTGTAACGACGTAATGACGTTAATCAAACGTTGTGTGCTTGTTGCCAGATGTAATATATCTCTGCGATCACACACACACAACGTAACTGTCACTATTTTCCACTTATTGAAACTTGTAATAATGTTTGACGTATCGCTGTAACGTTTTTATGGCGTATTAGAACGTTGTTACAACTTGTTAGGTGTTGAATGTTGTTCGAATGTTGTAGCAACGTTAGTTTAGTTCATTTATTATGCACCCCATACCCATCTTGTGGGCGGTAGTGGAAAGGGTTACAGAGGCACATAATGGGCTCAGGGACTGAACCCCACAATTCATTTAGCTAAGCAAGTTACAATCTTGATGAGCTAGTTACAAAATTCAAGTTGCAACGTCGAAGTTCAGTTGTGTGTTTGGTGGGATTTACAGCCATGGATTTTTATTCCAACCCTACGCATCTAGCAGGGAGTTCTTTATATAGGAGCTGAACATTTTCCTACAGTATCCCCTGCTCTTTCTTGCTGGGGTCCTAACACAGGATGCGAACCTCCCTATTTCCAGGTATTTTTTTTTAACACGGGAGTGGGTCCACTACCTCCCACAGATTACTCCCACCCACTCACTGCCCAAGAGGCCGTTGCAAAGAATTAAGATGCAACCACGAGCATCTTATCGTTCTCGCCCTTCTGTAATGTGGGTCTTGTGTCTGGGAAGGAGCAATGTTCACACCGACCCGTCTCCCTAACGGGTCGGTGTGAACATTGTATGTTCTGGATCGGGATTCACGGAGCAGTTACGCAAGCACTTACGAACGTGTACATCTTTCCTCAATCTTTGACGGCTTTGGTTATATTTATTAAACAGTTTACAAGCATGAAAACTTGCCAATCAACTGTTGTTATTGTTATAAACAGCTTCCTGGTGCTTCGGAGCTCATTAACAATTAAATAATTGTAAACAAAGCCGCCAAAAACTGAGAAAAGATGAACAGGATCGTAAGTGCTTGCGTAACTGCTTCGTGAACCTGGCTCCTGTGGAGAGTATCGGGTCTATGACCTGAGAAAATCACGTAGCCCTCCACGTCATCTGTGGTATACATAGTTACCACCTATGGCTCCTTATTTGTAGTATTTTTGGATGATTTTAAGGCTAAATAATTAAGATTGAAGTGAAGTCGTCAGCGAAGATGACAGCCTCTTTACTTTGACGGATGACCTCTCTTTACTAAAATAGTTAATAAAAGTTATCATAGGTCTCCCATCTTGTGTCAACTAATGTTTCAACCCCATGATATAAACCATCATTCTATAGTGTATCCTGTTAAAGGTTAGAAATGAGGAGAAATCTTGATGCTTCTCAGTAAATTATAATAAGCACTATAAATTATTACATAATGATTCTTTCGCTAAACAATATTATATACAATAGTGTATGCTTTGAAAATCTTAAAGAGAATGAATTGGAGGAACGTCAACAGAAAACGATATGATGTTGGAATGTCTATAGGGTACACTATAGTAAATAGGATAGATTAAGGGTCTACACCAAGTCACACGATGTTTATGGGGTCCACTACCACCCAAAAAGATAGGTATGGGGTTTACTGCCACCTGTTGGATGGGTATTGGGTCCACTATTGCCCCCAGGATGAATACGGGGTTCACTACCGCCCACTTGATAGGTATGGGGCTCACTATCACCCCACTGGATGGGTATGGAGTCCACTACCACCCACAGGATGGGTATGGGGTCCACTACCACCCACATGATGGGTATGGGGTCCACTACCACCCACAGGATGGGTATGGGGTCCACTACCACCCACAGGATGGGTATGAGGTCCACAACCATCCACAAGATGGGTAAAGGGTCCACTACCACCAGTTGGATGGGTATGGGGCCTACAACCGCCCATAGGATGGGTATGGGGGACACTACCATCCAAAGGATTGGGATGGGGTCCACTACCACACACAGGTGGGGGGTAGTGAACCCCATACCCGTCCTGTGGGTGGTAGTAGAACCCATACTCATCCAACAGTTGGTAGTGTACCCCATTAACATCCTACAGGTGATAGTGGACTTCATAGCCATCCTACGGGTGGTAGTGGACCCATGAACAGGTGGTAGTGGACCCCCATACACATCCTACCGGTGGTAATGGACCCAATACCCATGCTACGGATGGTAGTGGACCCCCATACACATCGAGTGACTAATTGTGGACACTTAATCCATCCTGATGATACACTGGCAGTGTTGAAGGCAGCAATGTTCAGTGTACAGGTTCCCAAGTAGGAAGACATGAGAGGCAAGACCTACGAGAGGCGTCAACATCAGAGGCTGGGGTCACGTGACAGACTTGACGCAGTGAGAGGCAATGTCGTGTTATGTTATCCCGTCGTTGTAGATGTTCTTTCATACCCCGAGACGATCTTCGTTGCCTTACTGTCTGGCTGTAGTCGTCTGAGGTGGAGATTACGATAAGACTGATAAATCTGAAGGTAAACATACAGCTCTAACAGCCAGAACTGAAGAGGTCGGAGCTGTAGAGGGCGTGTAGAAAGGAGCTGGGAACCGCCTGACAGCCTATAAGACTCGCCTTGAGACTTATACTCCAGACGCTCGAGGAGCACCTTGGGGGAGACGGAGACAGGAAGAGCGAGGAAGGTGACGGGAAGTTTTGTTCCGAGGACGAGAGGAGCGCCGAGGACCCGTCCGGCGTCACGTGGTGATCGTCGAGGACGCCACTTGTGCAGAATAATATTCTGAACAATGTCATCCTGGACGTTAATAGTTATTAGAAAGCATAAATGTCCACACTTCAATAAGTTAAAATCGCTTAATTTGTCATTAACGAGCAATATCTTAAGTCAGTTGAAAGCAAATATTTAACGTCATTCAGTGTTATATCAGGAATTTTGGGTTGTGGGTTTGTTAGTCTGTTATTGTATATATTGTATATTGTAGTTGTGGAGCGGCCATTAACACTTCTTGACTGACGGACGATTACTACTTCACTTCCATATTGCAAATGTTGCTCTCTTGTACCTGTTGTTCTGTTGCAACATTTACAATAGAATTTTTTTGGTTTGTGAATTATATTTTGAAATTAACAACTTCAAACATACAATATGGGGACCACTATTGGTTCATTAGAGACTCGTTCGTATTTGGGGAAGTGAAGGAGTGGTTGTTGGCCATTGTTAATTGACACTTGAGACTCGCAAAATGTTAACCAATGGGGTGAGTGTTAGGGTGAATGTCAACCAATCAGCGGCCGGGTTTGGTTGGCTGCTGGGTATATAAGAAACGATGAGACAAAAAGCACTTCAGTGTGTTGTACCTCACTTTTGGTATACAGTTCCAGCTTCGTCTCTTGGAGGTGAGCTGTATGGTGAGGATCCCGCCCCCTCTTCCCTCTTGTTGCGTCTCCCCCCCCCCCCCCCCCTTTGGTTCCCCGTACTGGAATTAGTTACCCCCCATACACTACACTATTTGTTTTGTTGCCAGGGTTAAGTGTTGCGTGTGGCACTATAGCAGACCCAAACTGGCTTCTGACCCTCCTCTACCCGACTTGTATCCTGCGAGAGGCTAGCCCTTAACGTCTGGCCTTCAACCTTAACGTTTCGGTTAAATATATCACTTTTGTAAGTGTACAATGGGATTACTTGGTTTTTAATATTTTCAAATTCAAAACTAAATTGTTTTAATGACGTAACTTCAGCAGACTAGAAGTGTTCTATTAAAGCATAACTAGTGAAATTTTCCATAACCCATGAACGAGGGTCTGTATCTAGAAGATATCCATCCAGCCCTTAATCTGTTTCTTTAGCATCAACGCTAATTGTAATTTGTCATATTAGTAGTAAAATTCCCTTATTAAAAGTAGCATTTTCAGCAGCATTTAGTGTAGTTGTGTAAAATTTTCTTAGCGTAAAAAGTTAACGGAATGTCTTGACTACTGCACCTAAACAGTAGTGAACTACCGGTTCGTAGTTATTGTCAGCGCCCCGGAGGTGTACACGAGGCAGTCAGGAGCTTGACAAACGCGCCGTAAGTAAAGTTCAGATGCTAGTCTCCGGACACTCCCCCCCCCCCCCCCCCTCCCGCCACAGTGGGTTGCTCTAGCAGTTCAAAACTAAAGTTTGGTAATATATAACATGGCCCTGCACGTTGACGGTATCCCATTTACTGCCCTCCAATGTTAACATTGAAACTGATAAAGGCAGATACTTTTTACACTAAATACTTCTCCCTACTAAGTGTTAATTTAATGCTTGTATAGGTTTAAAAGCATTACCCCCCCCCTCCCCCCTCCAAATGTTTTCCTTAATTTTAGCCTTTTGATTTTTTTTACCCTGTCTTATTAACCATGTTCATGCAGCAGGGTTAAATCGAAATGCATTGTGGTCTTAAATTTGTAACTTTCCAGAATGCTTCTGCTTAAGTACTGGTGTGGGTGTATGGTGTCTTCTAGGACCACTACATGGCCCCAGACGGCTCCTTGGCGTTCCTCCCGTCTGAGCAAAACCTGTTTGTACCAGTTTGTCTAGCATCTCCTTTAAGTCGTCCTTTGGGGAAAGTCTCTACAGTTCTCAGACACTAACAGGTTTGACACTTTTTCCAGTTGCACGTTTCGTCCAAAAATTCACTAAAGCTGAACCCTTGCCCTTCCAACCCCCCCCCCCCCTTTTTCCTGAATTTAAGGTTCCCCAGCTTAAGTGTCTCGGCCTTAAAGGCCCACATCAATCTCGACACTCAATCCTGTGGAATACCTGGTAACGTAGTAAAAGTTCTAGTTTGATTAGGTTACACACTATCAGATAGATCAAACAAGTGCTTATAGTACGCAAGATTGAAGTTTAGAATCCTCAACATGGCTTATGTCCACTAAAGAGTAAAACTAATCTGTTAAACTGTTTCAGAAATGAGAGCCGGTAAGCACTTTAAAATACCTGTAGCTGGGATCAAGCAAATTCTTACTGATAATCATTGCAGAGGCTTCCACCTAGTTAGAAGACGAGGATAAGGAAGACTTGAGAATTGTTGCCAGAAGTGAGTTCATGTTATTGTTCAACAGTTGCATATTATTGAAATACATGGTCATTAAACTTAATATGGTCGTCCTGCTGGACTGATTTACTAAATGGCAAAGATTCGTTCTAAAACTACGTAAAATTTTTCTTAGGTGGGATACAGTTCATGTGGACAAGGAGCGAGGCGTGATCATCTGGGTACACTGTGCAAAATAGTCTCGCACAGAAAGGTCCGTAGGCCTTGTTTTACTTTATTCATCTGTCAAACGGCTCAAATTGGGTAGATTTTCTTTAAGTGCAAGTTACTGATAAGGGCTTCACCGGCTGTAGAGATGTAAAAACTTGATCTGACCTTATCACAATATATAAAATCTCTCCTCCCGTCTTCAGGCTCGGGCGACCACAGGGTAGGCAACGAGGACTCCTAGTACTGAAGAACATCAATAACGACCATATAGTGCAATAACATGGCTTGTCACCACGCCCAGTCATTCACCTGAGACCAACCTTTGATATGTCGGTCAATGGTCTAGTTTCCTGAATAATGTAAAGAATATTAAAATGTAAACTACCTCATCTCTTATACCTTTAGCCAGGTCTCTTAAGGCTTCGTGTGTACACAACTTGCCTCCAGGAACCTGAAGTGCAGTTAGTATACTTAACTCGTTAAGGAAATAATTAATGGCTTGTGATTTCAGTCACAATGACATTGTATGAATTACTTGTAAAACCTGGTTGTAGCATTATTTTTAGGCCTGTCTCGGTGACCTCGCTCGGTATCTACGATGAATGATTTTTGTCCTATCTTGTTTGACAGTCAATTAGTATCTTTAAGAAACTTCAACGCTGGCTACACTACAGTGCTCTAAAAAAATTTAAGCTTTTTAATGACCCATTGTAACTGGGGGGCAACTAAATGACTTGCTTCCTATGCTGCCTATAGTTATCTATCCACAGAACTACATTCTATATTGCGACCCAGTATAGTACTAAATCTCAATTACTTGCACACTCCGCAGTGTGCTGCGGAGTGTGCAACCCAGGAAGGCACCGACCCAAGAAATCCTCCGCAAGCGCGGCGTCCCCAGCCACCTCGGCATACAGCGCAGCCAACTCCTGCCGAACATAGTGCAACACCCCACCAGTGTCCGAAGCAGCCGTCCCATCTGGCCGTTGCAAGGCCGTAAAAAGAACAGAGTCCCGCGCGGCCCGCACCTTACTTAAAAGAAACGGAGAAATCCGTTCCCAGTCCACCCTCTCACTTACACGAGCCCTCACACGCACACCCTCCGCCACCCGCATATACGCGCCTTGCAGTCAACAATCAACACCAGCATCGTACCTTACATACAACCTCGACAGCTGCGCCTGCAACAACCGCAGCAACCCAAAGCGCCCAGCAGCCTCGCGTTTAGCAACCACGCGAAAAAACAAACGACACTGCACTTTACACTACTCCCACCACTCCAAGACAGACAAACTCACAACGCCGGGCCCGAATCCCGACCCACCAACACCGAAACTGACGACAAACACGCGGAGAACGCAACAACCCACAGTTTAGCTTCCACCACCCCGCACCTGACTGGGCACCCCAACCCGGACCACCACCAAACTGTGGTCGGAGAATGCAACCGGGACAGTGCGAAAATCATACACCGTACAATCCCCACCATTGACATACACCCTATCAATGCGCGAACGCACCCCACGTGCAGCAAAAGTAAACGACAGCCCTCTACCAAAGAGCACAGCAGCGTCCCGGAAACCGCAGGAACGCACCACCTCCAGCAGCGCACCCGAGATATTCTGCGGACGAGCGCTACAATAATCCCGTGCACTCGTCACACAATTGAAGTGTCCTCCAAAAATCATGCCCCGCGTATCATGGCGCAAGAAAGGGAGAAGCCCCACCCTAAAAAACTCCTCCCGCTCCCGACGACGCGCCGCACCCGACGACGCGCCGCACCCGAGGGGGCGTACACCGTCAAGAACGGAATGACGACCCCCAAAAACTCCACCCACACAAATAGCACACGCCCATCCAACTCCGTGTGAAGCACGGAGAAGGAGGCCCTACGAGAGAATAACATAAGGGTCCCCCCGAAAGGCGTCCTCGGCGGGTTGAGCACCACATGATAATGCACGCTCAGACACTGCAACAGACACATCATGCTCCTGTATGAGAGCTACATCCACACGTTTTTAAATAAATAAGAGGCAGTAGGACAATGAAATTTAAGAAAACTAGTGGTTATTCAAACTATTCCTATTTATGTAATTTACTGGTTTATCCATCTGAACATTTCCATCAAAGAATGCATAGTTTCTTCGAAGTGTTTATCAACCAATTTGTAGATATAAAGTTCGTAAGTTTGAGAGCCACAGGACTGTTCTCCCACAACCCGTTCTCGCAAATTTAATAAGTCAATATTGACTTAAATATGTGCATAGGTGACATACTTAACATAATAGTTTCCCTTGAAAAGCTTCATAGAAAACACCAACCTTACCTAACCTACTTAGTATGTTAAGATAAGCATCTTGCTTCGTAATTACAATTATTACCTAACCTATAATAGGTATAGGTTAAGTAATAATTGTAATTACGAAGCAATAAGATGCTTATCTTAAGATACTAACAAGGTTAGGTAAGGTCGGTGTTTTCTATGAAGCTTTTTAAGGGTATCTATTATGTTTAGTATATCACCTATGCACGTAGTTAATAAGTCAATATTGACTTTACGAATTTGCGAGAACGTGTTGGAGTCCGATCTTGTCCTTCAACTTCATTATTACAGACGTGAAGATCCAATATAATGCATAAAAGGGGACAACTGCTTGAAGCAAGACTTAACAAAAGGTAACTGCAGAAGGCCTACTGGCCCATACGAGACGCTGTTATTTATAACCACCCAATCCCACTAAACCCCATAGGATTTAAACGCATAGAACCGCCTACCCGCCGAACCTGTCTGCAGAATTTATAAAACTAATCTGGAATAGTGGAATTAACTTGTCTCGACGGGGACAGGAAGCCAGCGGCGAGGTGCCGGCCCTAAAGCCAATCCTGACTTGCACACGTGAATTTACGTCCTAATCCATCCACCAGAATGATAATTACTTTCTGCGTTGGGGGGGGAGGGCCGCCAAAGCCGGGAAGAGAACACGGCACTGGCTTCGGATATTCAAAAGGAACGATGCTAATATAGGGCCACAAGTAAAGCCATATCGAAGGCATCAGTTCAACCATTGTTTATAAACTTCAAGAATAATTAGCTACACGAGCAGCCTTATTCGGAACAAGATTATCAGTACAGAGATCCAACACCTGATCGTTGCATGAAGATCACAAGATTATCCGTCTGAAGACAACCACAAGGAAGACTAGTACCAGAACACAAGTATGACTTGAGGAAAAGCTAAGGGAACTAAACGTCCCTGGAAGACAATGAATTTTGAAAGTCTAAATTGACGAAACTATCATGGGTGGAACAAGGGCACAGGTGAGAACAGTGCCCAACTAATTATCAGGTTAAAGTACAAAGCCATTTCACCAGTATAGCACTTTGAAGGGGTCAGGATAAAGATTTGGGATGGGACGGGAAGGAAGGAAGGAATGGTGCCCAACCACTTGAGATTGAACGCCGACCTGCACGAGTAGTGACCGTCGCTCTACCGTCCACCCCAGGTATTTGGGCGAGTCATTTTAAAGATTGTCAGTAAACAGATAGCATGCAGTGATGTGGTGGAGGCCGACTCCACACAATTTCAACTGTATACATGATAGAGCCCAATAGGCTCAAGAATCTTCACACCAGTCAACTGAGAGGCGGGACCAAAGAGCCTAAGCTTAACTTCCACAAGCACAACTAGGCGAGTACACAATTCTGAGGGTGATCTGGGTACACATAAGAGGTCCTGTGGAACATTCACTCCCCTTACCACAACCAGGCCAGTTTAATGTAATTACGGTATCTCTCCAAACCTGTGCAACCTCTTAGATTTAAAACCAGCCCTTGTCTCAAGTATGTAAACTAAGTTTATAAATCTATGTCAACACTACAATAGGGAAGTCTTGCCAAGAGTTCTTACCATCCATAGTAAATGTAAAGCTTCAGTGGCATGTCTAAAGAAAAGATATGTGAAGTATGGAAAGAAGAGTGGCCAGTCAGTCTTGTTTGGAGCTAGATTTTGGAGGTCTATGAACACCACCAAACTACAGGCGATCATCCAGGTTGTGGGTTCTGGATAGCATCATCATCTAATGGTTAAGACAGTCGTTAATGCAGTGCATAGTTTAATGATTTTTTTGCCCCGAGGGGCGAGTTTATTGGGCAGCGCCACTCATCCTGTGAGTGGACATACCGCCATAGCAGCATGTACAACACTCCAATAGGTAGAAAACCCGCTGGGTTCATCCTGTCACTTTCACCCAGACACAGCTGGGACTTGCTTAACCGTCAAATAAAGAGACTCAAACAAGATTAACATTGTCAACCATTAAAATCTTACGTTATCTTGCGGATGCAAGATGGGGGAAATCTCTTAACAATACTTGACAAATGGCGTTTTCAACTTACAATGTGGGGTTTAATATTTACACTTATAAAAAAAATAGATGCTCACACACTGGTCAAGGCGGTGTCCATAACTCACCACAGTAACTCTTCTGCTCCACTCTTCCCAATACGAATCTATGGATATTTGTATCAGACGGCTTTTTGATATTACCGACTCTCCTCCGCGGTCACCTCTTTATCCGTATTGAAATTGCCAGCTGCAACCACATTGTACCAGCGTACATGATTCACAGAGTTCTGTTATTTTCTACCTTGTCACGGTGATATTGTCTGATAATACCTCTTATTTGTAGAATAGTCTTGGGTATGAAGAAATTCTGTATGATCTCTTGCATCGGCTTTAGCAGCCTGCACATCTGCTCGTTCATTTCCACGGAAGTGAACGCGTTGCTTGCGAATCACTGCGTCATTAGTGTTTCGTTCAAGGAATCCTAACGCCATAATAATGGCAGTTAGCGCTGCTCACTTTTAAGAGGCATAGTTCTTAAAACGGGCTTTTTCTTCAATTTTCGCGTTGAAAGGTATTGTTCTTGATTAGCGTATGCTAAACCAGCCCCGCCGTGGACAGGATTAGATGACCCATTAGTGTGTATTTGATCCAATTGATTTTCGGCTTGTTAATTTATAGTGCATCGTTTTATTCCGTCGTAGATGTTAAGTACATTGACTGTCCTGGTTGCCTTATTTTGTGTGGCTGTAGTTGGCCGGACCTGAGGACGAGAGGGAGATAACATTAGGAATGTCAGGTTTAAAATAGTTAATATTGCACTTTTGTAACGTTATGTAAAGGCAGATCATTAAGCCTTCGTTAGACACTAGCAACTGTCACTACCCAACCCGTCCTCTTAAAAAGAACGTCACTTTTGGCTGGTATGCGCACTATGGCCAAATTTGGACGTAATTTGAAATGAAATCCACTCACAAAAGTGACGTTCTGTTCCGTTTTCTATTTGAGTCGTCCGGCGTACGCGCAGAGGTTATAAGAGGACACTTTAAATTAACGTTTTTCATAACGTTTTGAAACTTTATGAGAATTTCCTGCCCACCTAACCTATCAGAGGACCCTTAACTTACTGTTGTTGAAAAAAAAAATCCCAAATTTATTTTCATATTTTTTTCAATTTCAAATTACGTCCAAATTCGGCCATACGGGCAAACGGCCAAAAGCGACGTTCTTTTTAAGAGGACAGGTTGCACTACCGCCCTCAGGTGACAGGGGGTACAACTAGTCACACACACTGGGGTCCGCGACCACCCGTATGATGGTTATTGGTCCACTCCCGCAATATAAGTAGTAACGGACAAGTATGGACTGGGGACGCAGATTTACAAAAGCTTTGAGGTCATTAACAATGTTGGAATATTTTAAAGAGATAATAGTAGCCGATATTAATGTGCAAATATGTAAGATTTTATGATTATTGATAATTAGTTATCAATTTATGAAACTTGCAGATTAAGTGCAAGCTTTATGTAGTTTTGTAAAATAAGTGTAGGTAGTAACAATTGGTAAATCTTAAATATTTTAAGTTTAGATATATGTGCGCGCGCGATACCCCTGGTAAGTGAGGGGCATGTAACTACAACACTCCCAGCCTTCAGCCGATGCCCCCATCTAACCTTCATATAACAGTTGCTCTGATATGTATGGGGGGTATAAATATGGGACTAATGACGGTGTCAAACCATTCCAACAGCCGGTAATATATATACTATTATAAAAAAAATTGGTGAACGAGCCGTTATGCGACTTACACGTGCTTATTATAATTTACCGAGACGCACCAAGATTCCTCCTAAGTGCTAACTTTGGACAGGATACACTAGAATAGTGGTTTAACTCTGGGTTGAAACTTTAGTACACACAAAAGTGGAGACTTTAGTAACTTAAGAGATCATTCATCCGTCAATAACTATCTTCGCTGACTACTACCGTCTTAAGCCTTAAAAAATCATCCAAAGTACTAAATACGAAGCCAGACGTAGTTATGTATAACATTAGGTGAACTATAGATCTATTTGATTAAACTAACTTGCCTCATGTCAAACAAACCATTCAGTAAACCAGGCTTTTTTTCTGGATAAAAAAAGTGCATCAAAGGCTGATCGCACAGGTGACAGGCAATGCCGTGCCACTTTATGCCGTTGTTAGACGTTCTTCAGTACCCCGGGAATCCGTTGCCTGCCTGTGGTCGCTGGAGCCTGGGGGGGGGGGGACGGAGGGGGTGAGTTAGCGGAATTATATTTCTTTTACGATTGTGGTATTAACTTTCGTACCTTTATGACCATTAATGCCCTTACGAGTAACCCGCACTTAAAAAATCTACCACACTATGTTACGACAATTTGAGCTGTATGACAGTAAAACAAGCCACACGGACCCGCCAGCGAGAGAACTGTAGGACAGTAACCAGGTGGTCACACCGCTCGTTGTCCACATGAACTGGATCCCACCTAAAAATATTACGTAGTTTTAGAAAAAAAATCTGCCGTTTAGTAAATCAGTCTAGTGACCATATTTAAGGTTAAATGAACATTTCAATGATTTACCAACATGTTAAACACTAAGTGAACTTACTTCTGGCGCTAAAGCTCTATGAAGTCGTCCTTTTTATACTAAAAAGCTGGAAGCCTCTGCCAAGACAAGCAGCGAGTTGTGACTCATGGATGTAGGCATTTTTACTCTCGCACCTTTGTTAGTGGTGGTTACAAGCCCTTTTTTCCATGTATCTGAAACAAATTAAATTAATCTAAACATTTACTAATAAGAGCTATGAGGAACAATAAGCTATGATTCTATACTGCAATTTGGGCACTCCAAGCATATTACTCTAAATCACAAAGCTAAATCAATCAAATTAAGCCATTTTACTTGCCTTGTTACATCAGTTATTCCACAGGATGGAGCATCTACTGTGGTTTTGAAGGCCGAGACAAGCTGGAGTTTTATGACCAAAAGGAAACCAAACGACCTAACGGGTATCTAAAATGCAGGAAGGGGTTGGAACAAAGGTGCTGCTTAAAGAGTCGATTGTTACACGTAATATGGAACATTAAAGAATCTAGTTCTGAAACCGTTTACCGTCTTGAAGTGTTGAGACTTCTCCCTGAAGGATGACTTGGTAAGAGAGGAGATAATCTCGTGCAGACAACTTTCTGCTCAGGAGACGGGAGGAACACTATGTAGCCGTGCGAGGTCATGTAGTGGTCTCAAGAGACCCCTATACTAATATGTTTTAGCAGAAGCATTCTGGAACCTGAAAATTATTAATTTTAAAAAAAACATTCAGGGCATTTAGACTTTACCAAGGTGCGAGACCATGGTTAGTAAGGCAAGCCAGGGTAAAAATATTTAAGAATATTACAGCCTTCGTAATAATTACAACATAGTTAAGCAGGGTTGTTTCAAAGTTTTGTTATATGTTCAGTTACTAACCAAGATAATCCATTTGTTAAGCCTTTAGGGGGGGGGGGGGGGGGGAAGGGGGGTTGGTCCAGCAAAAACACTAGAAAACTATGCTACACCTTTGTAGCAACTGTGCCAAGAATAATCGGTAAAAAAATAGAAGCTTAACTGTACATTTAACATTAAGTGTTAACATTAGCCTCAATTAACCGAGGATACACATTCAACGTGCAGGGCCATACTGTACACTGCCCAATTACAATTTTGAACTGCGAGAGCAATCCACTGTAGGGGAGGGGAGGGGGGAAGAGAGTGTCCGGAGACTAGCATCTGAACATTACTTACGGCGCGTTTGTCAAACTTTTGACTGCCTCGTGTACACCTCCGGGGCGCTGACAATACCAACACCACTACGAACTGGTAGTTTACTATAGTATAGATGCAATGGTCAAGACTAATTTTTCCGTTGACTTAAGAACTATTTACACTACTATATTAAATTCATGTATGCTACATATAAACTGAAATGCTACTATAAGGCAATTTACATAATTAGCGTTGATAGTAAAAGATTAACACCAATGGATTAACAATTTAAAAATTAACATTCAGGTTTATGGAAAATTTAACTTTCTACACTAATAGATTAGCATCTCTAGCCTACTGAATTTAAGTCGTTAAGAAGTTTAAAATTTAGTTGTGAATTTGAAGTTAAAAATAAACTAGCAACTCCATAGTACACTTCCAGAACTTCTGTAATTATATTTAAACCGATTTGTTAAAGTTGAAAGTTAAACGTTAAAGGCTAGCCTCTCGCAGCATACAAGCAGGGCAGATGACAAAGGTGTGGGACGCAACAAGAAAGGGGAGACGCAACAAGAGGGGGGGGGAGGGGAGACGCAACAAGAGGGGGGGGGGAGAAGACGCAACAAGAGGGGGGGGGAGGAGAGACGCAACAAGAGGGGGGGGGGGAGGAGAGACGCAACAAGAGGGGGGGGGGGGGAGGAGAGACGCAACAAGAGGGGGGGGGGAGGACGCAGAGAGGAGAGACGCAACAAGAGGGGGGGGGGGGGGGGGAGGAGAGACGCAACAAGAGGGGGGGGGGAGGAGGAGAGACGCAACAAGAGGGGGGGGGAGGAGGAGAGACGCAACAAGAGGGGGGGGGGGAGGAGACGCAACAAGAGGGGGGGGGGGGGGAGGACGCAACAAGAGGGGGGGGGGGAGGAGAGACGCAACAAGAGGGGGGGGAGGAGAGACGCAACAAGAGGGGGGGGGGGGAGGAGAGACGCAACAAGAGGGGGGGGGGAGGGGCAGGATCCGCACCAAGACCTCACCATACAGCTCACCTCCAAGAGACGAAGCTGGAACTGTATACCAAAAGTGAGGTAAAACACACTGAAGTGTTTTTCGTCTCATCGTTTTTTATATACCCAGCAGCCAACCAAACCCGGCCGCTGATTGGTTGACATTCACCCTAACACTCACCCCATTGGTTAACATTTTGCGAGTCTCAAGTGTCAATTAACAATGGCCAACAACCACTCCTTCACTTCCCCAAATACGAACGAGTCTCTAATGAACCAATAGTGATCCCCAGCTTGTATGTTTGAAGTTGTTAATTTCAAAATATAATTCAAAAATCAAATACAACATTCTGTTGTAAATGTTGCAACAACACAACATTTGCAATATAATCGGCAGTGAAGTAATCGTCCGTCAGTCAAGAACTGTTAATGGCCGCTCCACAACTACAATATACAATATATACAATAACAGACTAACAAACCCACAACCCAAAATTCCTGATATAACACTGAATGATGTTAAATATTTGCTTTCAACTGACTTAAGATATTGCTCGTTAATGACAAATTAAGCGATTTTAACTTAGTGAAGTGTGGACATTTATGCTTTCTAATAACTATTAACGTCCAGGATGACATTGTTCAGAATATTATTCTGCACAAGTGGCGTCCTCGACGATCACCACGTGACGCCGGACGGGTCCTCGGCGCTCCTCTCGTCCTCGGAACAAAACTTCCCGTCACCTTCCTCGCTCTTCCTGTCTCCGTCTCCCCCAAGGTGCTCCTCGAGCGTCTGGAGTATAAGTCTCAAGACGAGTCTTATAGGCTGTCAGGCGGTTCCCAGCTCCTTTCTACACGCCCTCTACAGCTCCGACCTCTTCAGTTCTGCCTGTTAGAGCTGTATGTTTACCTTGAGGTTTATCAGCTTATATCTGTCTTATCGTAACCTCCACCTCAGATAGTCCATATCAGTCCTATGGATGGCAGGGGACCCCATACCCATCTTATGGACGGTTGTAGGCACCCATACCTATCCTACAGATGGTAGTGGACTCCATACCCATCCTGTGGGTAGTAATGAACCCCATACCCACCCCGTGGGCAGTAATGGACCCCATGCCGACCCAGTGGGCGGTAGTGGACCCCCATACCCTTCCTGTGGGCGGTAGTGGACCAAATACCAATCCTCTTGGTTGTAGTGGACCCCATACCCATCCTGTGGGTGGTATTGGACCCCATACCCATCCTGTGGGCGGTAGTGGACCAACCCATACCAATCCTCTTGGTTGTAGTGGACCCCATACCCATCCTGTGGGTGGTATTGGACCCCATACCCATCCTGTGGGTGGTATTGGACCCCATACCCATCCTGTGGGTGGTATTGGACCCCATACCCATCCTGTGGGTGGTATTGGACCCCATACCCATCCTGTGGGTGGTATTGGACCCCATACCCATCCTGTGGGTGGTATTGGACCCCATACCCATCCGTACCGTCCTCTGTGCTCAGTCCCACAAGGTCTCTGTCCTGCCCTCTATCCACAAAGCAGAATTACTGACCATTCCCAGGATACACCAATTGTATAATAAATTGATTGCTATTGGTAATTATTAATTAATATTTTTTCACATATATCACCCAATACCCATCACTTTTTTGAAGGTGTGATGAAGAGTACATGTGGGGGTACAGAATACATGTAGTGATACATGGGGGTACAGAGTACATATGCTTGTAGTATTGAACCCAATAACCATCCTATTCTCATCCCCTGGGGGGGGGGCGGGGGTTCTGGACCCCCTATAACCATCCTGTGAAGTGAATTGATTCCCATACCCGCTAGTACAGACGGATTCATCCTCAACACACAATCGAGAATCCCGGGCGGGACGGGAATGATTGGGCACATTTCCTTTCAGCTAACGCATCTGTTCATTTAGCAGTGAGTAGGTACTCGGCAGTGAGTATAAGTCTACTGTGTATGAATACACTATTCTGCTGTCCACTGTGATGGGACGGGTTCTATGGGACAGGTACTATGGGACCTGAGGAAGGATTGGTGGCTAATGATAGCTAATAATTATAAATCTATCACAGGGAAACTGTAAACATTAACAGCATAGGAACTATGAGCATTATGTGACATATGTACTATGATATACCGAGGACAGGTTGTATTCTAACCTAAACTGACCTATCCTAACCTAGCCTGACCTATCCTAACACAACCTAAGTGAACCTAATCTCACCTAGTCTATCCTAACTTAACCTGACCTCACCAATCCTCACCTAACTTACTCGAACGTAATCTGACCAAACCAAACCTAAAAATATATAAGATGGTATATTTCATATAGTGTTTACGTGGTGTAACACTTCATTGATGTAAACCACAGTCTCCTAAGCATCTCCTGGTCTCCTAAGCATCTCCTGGTCTCCTAAGCATCTCCTGGTCTCCTAAGCATCTCCTGGTCTCCTAAGCATCTCCTGGTCTCCTAAGCATCTCCTGGTCTCCTAAGCATCTCCTGGTCTCCTAGACATCTCCTGGTCTCCTAATCATCACCTGGTCTCCTAGACATCTCCTGGTCTCCTAAGCATCTCCTGGTCTCCTAGACATCTCCTGGTCTCCTAAGCATCACTTGGTCTCCTAGACATCTCCTGGTCTCCTAGACATCTCCTGGTCTCCTAATCATCCCCTGGTCTCCTAGATATTTCCTGGTCTCCTAGACATCTCCTGGTCTCCTAGACATCACCTGGTCTCCTAGACATCTCCTGGTCTCCTAATCATCACCTGGTCTCCTAGACATCACCTGGTCTCCTAGATATCTCCTGGTCTCCTAGACATCTCCTGGTCTCCTAGACATCTCCTGGTCTCCTAATCATCACCTGGTCTCCTAGACATCTCCTGGTCTCCTAGACATCTCCTGGTCTCCTAAGCATCTCCTGGTCTCCTAGACATCTCCTGGTCTCCTAGACATCTCCTGGTCTCCTAGACATCTCCTGGTCTCCTAATCATCCCCTGGTCTCCTAGACATCTCCTGGTCTCCTAGACATCTCCTGGTCTCCTAATCATCACCTGGTCTCCTAGACATCTCCTGGTCTCCTAGACATCTCCTGGTCTCCTAAGCATCTCCTGGTCTCCTAGACATCTCCTGGTCTCCTAATCATCCCCTGGTCTCCTAGACATCTCCTGGTCTCCTAGACATCACCTGGTCTCCTAGACATCTCCTGGTCTCCTAGACATCTCCTGGTCTCCTAGACATCTCCTGGTCTCCTAGACATCTCCTGGTCTCCTAGACATCTCCTGGTCTCCTAGACATCTCCTGGTCTCCTAGACATCTCCTGGTCTCCTAAGCATCTCCTCCTAGAGATCTTGACAGAGCGGCAAGGGATCATCACCCCCCCGCAGCTTCTCAGCGGGTGTATCGTCACTAACGTCCCTCGCTAACTCCTCGTTCCGGTGTAACAGGCTATTAGGGAACTTGGCTGTAATCCCCTACCGCTGGAATGAGACAAGAGATCGACTCCACAACTTACACTCGCCTCGGATATTGTAGCTCAGAGCGTCTCTTCACAATTTTCTACCATTTCGGGCTTTGAGAGAATACTTTAAGCGTCTTTTTGTGTGCGTTTTGTACCGTAGTTCCTTAGACAGTGTTGTTTTGTACCGTAGTTCCTTAGACAGTGTTGTTTTGTACCGTAGTTTCTTAGACAGTGTTGTTTTGTACCGTAGTTCCTTAGACAGTATTGTTTTGTACCGTAGTTCCTTAGACAGTGTTGTTTTGTACCGTAGTTTCTTAGACAGTGTTGTTTTGTACCGTAGTTTCTTAGACAGTGTTGTTTTGTACCGTAGTTTCTTAGACAGTATTGTTTTGTACCGTAGTTCCTTAAGCAGTGTTGTTTTGTACCGTAGTTCCTTAGACAATGTTGTTAAAGACACCTTAAATAAATATTAATTAGATGAATATGTTGTAAATGCCAACCCAGTACACACCTCTAAATGTAAATATAATTAAAACGAGTGAAAATAATCAGTGCCTTGAACTACTGATGATTGAAAGGCGGGTCTTAGGAGCTGATGCTCGACCCTTCAAGCTCATCTAAGACGAGTGCATCTGGATGAGTACATTGGGTTGAGTGCATCTGACATCAATGAGTACCACAACGGACTCATCATCCGGACTCATCAGACCCCCGAGAAACAACACTCAGGAGCTCTGTAAGACTATTGTGAAGATGAGACATATGATGAATTGCGACCCAGGGCTTCCTGGGACGATGATTTTTCAGGCAATTCATCAAGATTAGTCTGAATGAATAAATAACAACGATTAGTGGTACCTGCAAATGAGCTGGGATCCTAGGTTATTTTTTGATAATTACATAACATATACATAACATAGCTACAACGATGCAACGACGTTCATGCAACGTAAAAAAAACATTGTTAATACGTGTGTTTGTGGGCTTGAGGGTGTAGCGAAGACCTCGGCCACGACAACAAGACAATATCACAGATTTCTAAGTTTTGGGTGTTTTCCTTGCCAGGTATTTCCTCCAATTTCCACCACACATTACATTGATTTCTTGGGAATGTTTTTTCGGAAGGAGGAAGAGGCAGCAGGAGCAAATTCGCCTTTCTGCGAGATTAATACTCTCATCAAGGTGTTGTGGAGCACAAGACTCCTATTCCAGGAGTGGAGCGAACCCGTCTGTTATGGGGGAGAAAAAATAGAGATGGTATTCTTCCTGCATTCCTAATCTCTCTCTCTCTCTCTCTCTCTCTCTCTCTCTCTCTCTCTCTCTCTCTCTCTCTCTCTCTCTCTTCTCTTTCTCTCTCTCTCTCTCTCTCTCTCTCTCTCTCTCTCTCTCTCTCTCTCTCTCTCTCTCTCTCTCTCTCTCTCTCTCTCTCTCTCTCTTTCTCTCTGCAATGATCTAGTATTCTCGGTATTGTATCGAAACCTGACCGAAACGCTATGCATGTTAGCGGCTTTACAAGAGTGTAGTAACTCTTGCAAAACAAAAATAAAATGCCTGTCAGTTTTGTTTCTACTATTGTGATAATGCGAAATGTTTTTTCTGCCACAATTTCCAGTATCTCTACCAATGTATTTTTCATTCTTTCTTCCCACAGGTATTTTTAATTAAAACCTTTACTTTTCCATTGAACTGCTTCGATGCCTGAGGGATATTAATTCGTATTGTTCGATCTTCAATTGTATTAAGGGGAAGTGGTGTTTCTTGGTCTAAATCACTCCTGCCTGTTCCTTTGGATAAGTGTTTTGATAGGTTGGATTGACTCACAAATTAGTTTATATCGAATTCTATTGTAAGACTTGTCTGTTTTTTTTGTCATGTTACCTGATTTCCGTGAACTATTTTCTTTCTTTTCTTCTCCAAGTTGATTCTCACCTTTCCTATCCTCCTTTGACGTGTCTTCGCTAATATAAAAAAATCATGATAAAGACCGTCAATGGGAGAATAAGAAATGATCAAAATGAAATAAAATTTACTAGCTGAGAATTATCTAAAAGATATGAGATGGCGAGATAGATAAGAAATTGCAGATATTACACGACCAAACTACCATCAAAATATAGCAATATTACTCAATCAAAATAGCCCCATATAATCACCTGTCAATAAGTTTTACATATATATATATATATATATATATATATATATATATATATATATATATATATATATATATATATATATATATATATGAATTCATGAAAAATTCATCAATTCATGAAACTTGCACTTTATATGTAAAGTTCCTGGATCTACAAATGTCACCACCTATTTTTTGTCATAAGTCCATTTACTTTATAAATATTTCCATCAATTTATATATATATATATATATATATATATATATATATATATATATATATATATATATATATATATATATATATGTCGTACCTAGTAGCCAGAACGCACTTCTCAGCCTACTATGCAAGGCCCGATTTGCCTAATAGGCCAAGTTTTCCTGAATTAATATATTTTCTCTAATTTTTTTCTGATGAAATGATAATGCTACCCATTTCATTATGTATGAGGTCAATTTTTTTTATTGGAGTTAAAATTAACGTAGATATATGACCGAACCTAACCAACCCTACCTAACCTAACCTAACCTGTCTCTATAGGTTAGGTTCGGTTAGGTAGCCGAAAAAGTTAGGTTAGGTTAGGTTAGGTAGGTTAGGTAGTCGAAAAACAATTACTTCATGAAAACTTGGCTTATTAGGCAAATCGGGCCTTGCATAGTAGGCTGAGAAGTGCGTTCTCGCTATTAGGTACGACATATATATATATATATATATATATATATATATATATATATATATATATATATATATATATATATATATATATATATATATATATATATATATATATATATATATATATATATATATATATTTTGGGGTGTGTAGGGGGGGGTATATGTGCATGTTGATAAATAAACTACTATTATATTTCTTCGTCAGTCTGTTGAGTTTTCTTGTCTTTTCAGTCGTGGTGGGTGAGAACGCTACCGAAGGAGCTGGAGGAGGAGCAGGAGGAATTGAAGGCCCTGGCGGTTCCGGCGGCAGCAGCAGCGGAGGAGGAGGAGGAGGAGGAGGAGGAGGAGGAGGAGGAGGAGGAGGAGGGGAAAGAGGAGGCAGTGGGGGAGAAAGAGGAGGAGGTGGCCTAGAAAGAGGAGAGAGGGGAAAAGAAAGAGGGGAAAAGGGTGATGTTGGTGGTGGAGAGAGAGTAAGCGGTGGAGGAGACAAGGCAGAAAGGGGAAGCGGTGGAGGAGAAAGAGGGGAAAGGAGAGGCGGTGGAGGAGAAAGAGGGGAAAGAAGAGGTGGTGGAGGAGAAAAGGCAGACAGGGGAAGCAGTGGAGGAGAAAGAGGAGAAACGGGAGGCGGTGGAGGAGAAAGAGGTGGAGGAGGAGGTGAAAGAGGAGGAGGAGGAGGTGAAAGAGGTGGAGGAGGAGGTGAAAGAGGAGGAGGAGGAGGGGAAAGAGGAGTAGGAGGAGGTGAAAGAGGTGGAGGAGGAGGGGAAAGAGGAGGAGGAGGAGGGGAAAGAGGAGGAGGAGGAGAAAGAGGAGGAGGAGGAGGAGAAAGAGGAGGAGGAGGGGAAAGAGGAGGAGGAGGAGAAAGAGGAGGAGGAGGGGAAAGAGGAGGAGGAGGAGGGGAAAGAGGAGGAGGAGGAGGAGGAGGAGGAGAAAGAGGAGGAGGAGGAGGGGAAAGAGGAGGAGGAGGAGGAGAAAGAGGAGGAGGAGGAGAAAGAGGAGGAGGAGGAGGAGAAAGAGGAGGAGGAGGAGAAAGAGGAGGAGGAGGAGGAGGAGGAGGAGGAGGAGGAGGAGGAGGAGAAAGAGGAGGGGGTGGAGGAGGAGAGAGAGGAGGCAGCAGAGTGCCCAACTACAAGTCCCGAGTTAAGGGCGCCAGCCAAGTACAGTTCAGCCTCAACCTCATCCGAGCAGCCCAGAGAGAGCTCCAGTTCCTCTACTTCGTCAACCGCCACCCGGCGCTCTACCAGGGCGCTCTCGTCAAGAAGGCCATCCAAAGGTGAGCTCCCGCCTCTTCAACCTCTTGTACCGCTATATGCGGGTCGGCGTTCGATTCCCCGACGATCCAAGTGGTTGGGGGGGGGCCACTATTCCTTCCCCCCCTTGTATCCCAAGGACGATGGAATCGAAGCCTGAATTCATCAGGCTCACGCACAACCAACTGAACCAGGACGGGACTATCTCACCCAGAAGTGCTCCTTTATCTTGGACCTTTATAGCCCATCATGGCCCAGTCGGTGGTGCGTGTGCCCGAGGACCCTCATTGTTTAGCTTCAGTGTGTTCTCATAACTCATTTCTCATTCCTGTGATTTAATTTTGGTTCCAAAGTCTTTATGGCTAATTTAACTGCAAACTGAGTCGAACTTTATTATGCTTCAAACCTCATAATTATTTATTACAGCGTGAAGCTGTGTACAAACATGCATTACAGTGCGAAGCTGTGTACAAACATGCATTACAGTGTGAAGCTGTGTACAAACATGCATTACAGTGTGAAGCTGTGTACAAACATATATTACAGTGTGAAGCTGTGTACAAACATGCATTACAGTGTGAAGCTGTGTACAAACATGCATTACAGTGTGAAGCTGTGTAAAAACATGCATTACAGTGTGAAGCTGTGTACAAACATGCATTACAGTGTGAAGCTGTGTACAAACATGCATTACAGTGTGAAGCTGTGTACAAACATGCATTACAGTGTGAAGCTGTGTACAAACATACATTACAGTGTGAAGCTGTATACAAACATGCATTACAGTGTGAAGCTGTGTACAAACATACATTACAGTGTGAAGCTGTGTACAAACATACATTACAGTGTGAAGCTGTGTACAAACATACATTACAGTGTGAAGCTGTGTACAAACATACATTACAGTGTGAAGCTGTGTACAAACATACATTACAGTGTGAAGCTGTGTACAAACATGCATTACAGTGTGAAGCTGTGTACAAACATACATTACAGTGTGAAGCTGTGTACAAACATACATTACAGTGTGAAGCTGTGTACAAACATGCATTACAGTGTGAAGCTGTGTACAAACATACATTACACTGCAATGTTGTAAATTATGTTGTATTTCTCTTCAGTATCGGATAATTTCCCTGAAGAATCGTTAACAATGCATCTTTTCTGCATAATATAAACACGAGACAAAGCTTCTTGTCTTAAGTTACAGACGTGTAATAATAATAATAATATTAATAATAATAATAATAATAATAATAATAATAATAATAATAATAATAATAATAATAATACAGAGCATAATCACACTTACGTGACCGCAACAGGAAGAAAGTCCGTAGGAGCTGTGATGTGGGATTGAACCTATGCGCTTTGTCGTTCCACACATCAGAGGTAGAACATGTATAGATGATAGAGCCAGAGTGTATGGGATGGGGAGGAAGTGTGTGAAAATTCTGTTCCGGCTTCAGTAGAAGCCTCAGGAAACCCTCGTATGTTCAGTAGAACTCTAGGTTGTATTCCAATTGACCATGTCGTGGCCTGATTGTCTGAGGCGTGTGCCTGGGACTACCTACCGCATTGGTTCGAATCCTCATCATGGTTCTTACCGATTTTCTCAATAATAATATTAATAATAATATCAGCAGTAACTATCGCGCTGGATGTCCTCTCAGCGCACAGGCCTGGGCAGTAGTTATGGAGAACCGGGTGTTGCCCATGTAGCAGGTCCACCCTCTCCACGCCACCGATGTGGTCCAAGGGAAGGGCGGGCGCTGATGCGCTTGGCACCAGTGTCGTCGTAGGAATTGCCAGAATGTAGCTGTAAACAGCTGCAAACCGCCTTAGGGACTCCGACTCCGGATTTTTTCCTCAGGGTTGACTCCCGAAGACTTTCTCATGAGTGGGTTTATCCGCAAGGCAGCGGAGGTTTGAATTTGGGGTTTTCCTTCACCTAGATGAGCTGCCATCCCAGGCTGACGAGTCCCATCTGCCTGAAGCAACTGTTTTAACGCACCTTCGCTCCATCTGTTAGTAGAAGCAGTTCCGCCGGGCCGAGAAGCTAGGCCACATGCACAGGCCAGGACCTAAACTTGGTTGTCAGAAGCTGTTTAAGGCGCACGCCATCAGGGGCACTTTACAGGCTGTGGGAGCTTATCCAAACCCCCCCCACTCCAGCGCCCAGCAATGACATCCTTAGAAAAATAATCATAATTCTACCACTCAATTGGCGTAGAGTGAGGCGCCAGAGGTTGCTTCCATCGGTGGGAGAAATCATCGGATTTCATCAGACAGCTACCGCCCGCCTCAAACTGGGCAGCCCCAAGCCAGTTAGGCGCTGTCCCACCCATTGGGTGCTTGGGGCTTAGGCCACCATCCAATAAGCGGATCGTCAACCATGCACCAGGCAAAAGAAAACAAACACAGAGCCACCCTTGAGAACTGGGCACATGGAATGTAAGGACCATGACACCGGGTCTCTCGGAAGATCTACTGGAAGTGAACGACGCCCGCAAGACAGCTGTGATCAACAATGAACTACGCAGGCTCCAGATGGACATAGTCGCCCTGCAGGAGACACGTCTGCCCGCGACCGGCAGCATAAGGAAGAAGGACTTTACCTTCTTCTGGCAGGGCAAACCACTAGAAGAGGTAAGGGAGCATGGCGTTGGCTTTGCCATCAGGAACAGGTTGTTAGGGTCCATAGTACCGCCCACGGAGGGGTCTGCAAGGATCATCAAACTTCAGCTTCATACAGCAGCAGGAATGGTCAGCCTCATCAACGCCTATGCACCAACACTGACCTCCTCTACCGAAGCGAAGGACGAGTTCTGTGACCTCGGCCTAACTCTCAGAGACATACCTCAACAAGAGCCAGTCTTCCTCCTGGGAGACTTTAATGCAAGAGTTGGTTCTGACCACAGCTCTTGGCCTTCCTGCCTGGGCCAGTTTGGATTTGGGAAGATGAATGAAAATGGGAAGCGCCTCCTGGAGTTCTTCTGTCGTCATAATCTCTTCGTCGCCAATTCTTTCTTCGACACCAAGCCCCAGCACAAGGGATCCTGGTGACATCCCAGGTCTAAGAATTGGCACCAACTCGACCTGGTGCCTACGAGGCGTAGCAATCTGAGAAACGTCAAACTGACCCGCAGCTCTCAGAGCGCAGATTGTGACACCAACCACTCTCTCGTTTTTTGCAGAGAAAAGTTCCAGCCCCGAAAAATCCACAGTGCAGAGAAGGAGGGAAGACCACGCATTAACTTAAACAGGACTCGTGATCTTCACAAGGTGGAGGAATTCACTGCTGCGCTGGTAAATACCCTTCCTGTACCACTCTGCGATAGAGAAAGTGAGAGGTGGTCACACCTCAGGGTCACTATCTTCAACACTGCCATGTCCACCTTCGGTAAGAGGCAGAACAAGTCAGCTGACTGGTTCGAGGCCAGTGCAGGGGAACTGTTACCCCTCGTAGAGGAAAAGAGACGAGCTCTCTCAGCCTACAAGAACCTGCCCTTAGAAAGGAACCTACAGGCCTTCCATACTGCCCGCAGTAGTTCAACAAACTGCGAGGCGTTGTGCTAACGATTACTGGCTTCGACTCTGTTCCAGCATTCAGACTGCGGCCACTGTCGGCAACATAAGAGGCATGTACGAAGGGATCAAACAGGCAACAGACCCTACACAAAACAGGACGGCTCCTCTGAAGTCAGCCACTGGAGAGATCATTAAAGACCGTGATCAACAGATGAATCGCTGTGTGGAACATTACTCCGAACTCTACTCCAGAGAGAGCTCAACAAGGTGTATTGGGAAGGCCGCAACAACACTGGCCAGGCTAACAGAGCTCGTTTGGGCAAACGTCAAACTGACAGTACACACCAAGGCACAAGTCTACTTGGCATGTGAAGCGAGAACATTTCTATGCGGCCGGAATCCTGGACCCTGCGATCTCGCCAGGAGAGACGGCTCAATACCTTCCACATGCGGAACCTGAGACGCATCCTAGACATCACGTGGAGAGACCACGTCACCAACTGTCGGAAAATCCGACACCATTTAATATATCATACAGATAATAGCTGTGTTGTATAAACAAGTTACCCATAGAAAACGTAACTTGTAGTGGAATTACCGTCTATAGAAAACGGGATATCATCACCACATACTATTATAATTCACCACCTATTATGGTGGGAATTATTCTTAAACACATTAGTCTTTGGACTTTACCATCATAAAAACATCTTATATAAATTAACTTAATTATCAATATTAAAGTAGAGTAAATGTGACCCTTCTATCACTTTCTGAAATCTGGACAAAGTAGGCCAGGCGTGAGGGAGGAAGAGGGCGGCCATTGTGGTGTCACCTCCGAGACGTGTGGAGCAAATTCGGCTCCTATCATTCTGGACAATGTCGGCCAGTAACGTCAATAGTATGGAGTGTTAAACAGCCATTGTTTATATTGAGACCAGAGGCTCACACGGGAGCAAATTCGGCTCCTGTTAAATTTACTTGGACGTAGTGTTATGGAAACCAAAGGTACCATCTCCAACACGATGTCTACAATTCAAGTTAAGTCTATCCGAAACCCGTTTACCATTCATTTATGGCCATTAATGTCAGGATATAGGGTGACCCGGTTAGATCGCGAAATCGCCTCAAACTAAAGGTAATTAAGCCAGGTCTTCATGTTCCATGTACTGTATAGTGTTTTCTCTGATATACTTGTCATATATAGTATTCTGGCTTCACAGCTAGCGCACTTTTGACAGGTCAAGACGAGGAAGCAAGATTTGTGCACCAGTTACTGGGTGATATGGAAGCTACCTCAAAGAGGATAATTTGGTGTCTACACCCTAGTTATACCTGGTGGACTAACCTGCTGTACTATAAGATAAGGAACCTCATCAATGTATGTAGCTATTACTGTAGTTTGATTGGCTGCATATATATTAATTTAATAACCCCCCCTAATGTGTAGAGGATCGATTTGTGAGATTGAGATTATTGCAGAAATACAGTC